CCCCGTGCCCGAAGGGCAAGGCCCGGGCTGGGACTCGACCATTGGCAAGGCGGGTCTGGGAAAGACGGGACGGGTCATCAACAAGCTCGTCAGCGACAACGAAGCATTGAAGCGTGACATCCAGATCGAACGGTTACGAGCCGAAGAGGCGAAGCAGGCCGCGAAACTGGTAGAGGACAAGATGGAGCGCATCATCAGCGACTACGAGAGCCGCCTCCTCGAAGCGAGCGTCACCAAGACGCTCCTCAGCCGCAAGGAGCGCCAGGTCGAAACCCTCCACGCCAACGTGGAACTAGAAAAGAAGCGCACGGCGGACGCCAAAGAAAAAGAGCTCCTGTGGCGCGACGAGATGGAAAAGATGCGCGCCAGCACGACGAAGCAGGTCGAGGACGCAAACACCCACGCCGCGCTCATGGAGGGCCGGTACAACGCCATCAGCTCGCATTGGAAGGACCAGGGCGACGAGGTGCAGCGCGCGCACCTGAAGCTCCGGTCCGAGATTGCGGGCGTCGTCGAGGAGCGGCGGCGCGACGACGAAAAGATTGCGGCGCTACGGGACCTGTGCGATCAGCAGGACGGCAACATCAAGGAGCTGAGGCGGCAAAAGGAGGAGATCCAGAACAAGTTTGACGAGTACAAGGCGCAACAGGAGTTCTTGCTCAAGGATATCAAGGCCGGCGTCGCCGGGCGGGATGCCGAGCAGGAGAGGTTACTCGAGGAGACGAGGTCGACGTTGGCGAAGCTGAAGTGGGCACTCAACGTGAAAGAAAACGTCAAGGATCTGCTGCAATGATTTGCTGCCGTTGCGTCTAGCTCGAATAACAGAAGGAGTCCACTGGAGCTATTCCATACCTTGCCAACGGCGTCTCGCCACCACGATCCGACCTCGCCGACCCAATCATGCAGGATAGCGTACCACACCCGGCAAGCCAACACTACAGCCATAACCTTTACTACCAAACCCCCCCGACAGGCACCTTCGCCAGCCGTTTCGCTCCACTCGAACATCTCGGCAATATACACGCGTAGGCGCGAGACGACACAAATAACCATGTGCCACGACAAACCACACGGTCAAGAAGAAACCCGTGCCTGGTGAAACATACGAGGACTCATCGAGAGAGGGAAACGTCCTGAGCCTCGAGGCTTGAATTTGGATTTTTCTCTGTCCTTCTCCTCTCTTTTGACTATTCACTTCTCCGCGACCGACCACAGTCGAAACATTACGTACCCAAATCAAGAATCAATGGTAAAGCCATGGTCCCAAAGTACCTGGCTGAATCAAGAAAGGCGGTTTTCTGGATACAGAAGTTGGGCTTCTCACTACGATTTTTTTTGGTTTCCTCGAGCATAACCTATGGAAAAGGGGGCGGAATCCAACGCTCAGGTGAGGGGCATTTGAAAGGGGAAACCTAGCGACCAGTCCTAACGCCTCGACTTTTTTTTTCGTTCGAGAGAGAACAATGGCAAATCAAAAGACCAAGATGCGAAACTAGGGAATCTGGGAGTTTTCGGCGTTGAAGCTACGGCATGGGGGAATTCGGGCCGCATTCGTGAGGATCTGGGAAGACGCTTAGTCTTGCGCTTCCTCTTCTTCCGGTTGATGTCTATAAACCGCTCTTCCCCCCTTTTTGGGGCGAGCCAGCCATGAGTCTTGATAAGATATCGGGCCAGAAAGAGAAAAAGATAATAGACTTTTTTTTTGTTTTGATATTCCGTGTTTCCCAGTGACATCCGATCTTTCTCCAGACGGGTAAGCAATGTTCTCACGCTGAGGAAAAGGGCAGGCAAATGGAAACGACCCGTCCTTGCAATACTACCCATCTTGTAGTTCGATGTACATTCACATCTGACTTCATACACGCTGTCGACCACCTTCATCATTTGTTCTTATCTTTTCTTTTTGCCAAGTTTCCCGCCTACGAGAAGAGCTTCATCATCCCATCAACATCAACATTCCCACCACTAACAACAAGCCCCAGATCCCATCCGTCCGCACCAGCCTCCCGCTCCACCATGCCCCGAAACTCCTCATTGAACAGCGCGACGGCCAACGGCACCGCCGCGCTCGGCTCGACCCAGATCTTCAGCCTCTCCAGGAGGAGCCGCGTCGCCGCGAGGATCTCCTCCTCGGTGACGGCGTACATCCCGCTCACCAGGCCCCGGTCGTAGATCAGGCTCCACGGCGTGGCGCTGACGGTGCCCGCGAGACCGTCCGCCACCCCATCGGGGGTCTTTGTTGTATGGGCGGTGATCCTCGCGCCCGAGTAGAATCCCCGACGCCCGTCGTCGGCGCCCTCGAACTCGGGCTCCGCGCCAAAGACTTTAATGCCGGTGCCCTCGCAGCTGAGGGCTGTGCCGGAGAGGAGACCGCCACCGCTGCAGGGGGCGATGATGGCGTCGAGACCTTTTTCTCCTCCTCCTCCTTCTCTTCCCTCTCCGATGGAGTTCTGCTGCTGCTGCTGCTGCTCCAAGACTTGCTCCTGGAACTCGAGTCCCGCAGTCGCTTGACCGAGGATGACGTCCGGGTGATCGTGAGGCGGCACGAGCCTGGCGCCCGTCTCGGCGACGATTTTGGCCGCGACGGCCTCGCGGCCGGAGAAGCCCGGCCCCGAGAGGACGACGGTGGCGCCGTAGCCTTTCGTCGCAGCGATCTTGTTCGGTCGTGTCGTGGTGGGCATGACGATGCGAGACGTGATGCCGTCTTCTTGGGCCGCTAGGGCGAGAGCTTGGGCGTGGTTACCTGTAAAGATGTGTGAATCCAATCGATCAGTAAAAAAAAGCAGGAGAGTAAGAGAGTGGAAAACCAAGGGGAAGTGGGGGATTCTTCACCTGCGCTGTACCCTACGACACCCTTCTCCTTGCCGCCGCTCTCGAGCCATCCGGGCTCTTGTTGAAGCCTCTTTATGGCGTGGAAGGCCCCGCGGGCTTTGAAGGCGCCGGTGCGTTGCATGTTCTCGCATTTGAACCAGAGTCGGAGGATGGGTCGAGCGGGTGTACGGCCGCTGCCGATCGCTGCGGGGTCTCTTGGTGTTGAAGCCATTCGGCTCAGTGTTTTGTTCGTCAGTACCGGAGTCAGATGGATGTGTGACCTGATCAGTTGGCGGGCCTGGATGACCGAGTCCCTGGTCAGGGGAGGGCAGATTGAGAGGCTGGCCATGACTTGTGACAGTGGGCTGAGATGGAGTGTAATCCTTTGACAATTGGATGATGTAAGTGTTGATTTGGCTTCTAGTATGGGCTTGAGTCTGACTTCAAATGGTATCAAGATGTACGAGGTTTGAGCAGCAGTGCTATTTGAGTGATAAGTTCATCAAAGTGATCGCGGCTGTTGGGACTACAAGATGGCAAAATGCCAGCAACTATTATACTATGCTTCAATTCAAAGTCATCTAGCGGTGCTTCGGGTAAGAGACCCGGCGCCAATCGTGGTGTTGACGTCTTGGTTGGAGGTGGGACTCTCGGCAAGGCTTACAACGGCGCCGAAGTTGCACTCGGCAACTTGACCATGCCTCCGAGTTCGAGAGACTTGGGCTTCAAATGAGATGACTCGTTCGATTGGGAGAATCAGCGAGCAGTCTAATATCATATACAAGAAGTTATGGCTCAGCTTTAGTATCGGGTCTTGCTCCCGAGGCTATAAACTCTCCTTGATCAACCATGTTGAGCACTGCAGAACCGGGCTATTTCATAGCCAACAATTTTCCAAGCATTTTCAGGAAGTGCTTTGAGCCCGTCTATTTTGGCTTGGTACTACTACTGACGGCCGGCAGGTACTTGTAGAGGTATACTATGCTGTGATTGACATTTTCCATTGTAATGGGCGCGAATAATTATTCTTACGGTTATGTTAAGCGATTTTGACGATCGCGATTAAAGATTGTCATAGTCGTAAGTAATACGATCTTGAATAAATAGATGGGCATAAATGACTAGGTACAGTACGACCGTGAAGGTGGTTAGTTACGTGAGCGCTTGTCGGCTGGTGGGTGTAGAATATAGTTAGAATAGCCAAACCGCACAGTCAAAGCAGCCGTACTAAATACTTTCTATTCGTGTCATTGTTCAATAAACTACCTTTGAAGCCGGTATGCAGTTGCGTCCATCTGAAGACATGGTCGGAAACTTTGCAAGCCAACCTCTCAAGCGATGTTGTCTCCATGTACAGAGGAAAACTAACAAGAGCAATTTTACCCCTACACAACGTTTGGAAGACTTTAGGAAGCGTGTTAGGAATGCTAATGGAGGGAGGTGCAGACATTGTGATCGTCACTATCCGTCCTCGTCGACACGTTCTCCCAGCAAAACGTGAAGAAGAGGGGGGGGGGGGGCTTTATTACTAGGTAGGAGGCACAAGTAGCATGGCTTTGGTAGGGGCTAATGAGGCGAGGCAGGGTCCTCTCCGACACGAAGCAGGTATGCCGCGAGTACATTATAAAGGAAAAAGGGACGCGTGAAAATGTTGACCATCCTAAAGCTGACGCATTGGCAGTAATTTCCCGGGATCAGCTTGATCTTGGTCAAGCAAGTATCATGAACATAAATCATGTCAAGAACTCTGAAAGATGATGGTCCCTCATCTTCAAGGACGAGCAATCCAAACGACACGCCTTCCACAGGAATGATGATTTCAGCTCAGAAAAGCGCGATATGCTTTTCGATATTCCAAAATCCGGGCGACAATGCGATGGGGGTTTCTTTCTTCCATTCTCCGCAGCCTAGACAGAAAGATCCTCCCATTCCCCGTAAATAGAAGCTTGACCATGTTCGAGAAGGAAAGTGACATGAACTGTTTCACTCCAATAAATATGATAACTAGAGTGACAATTGAGTATCCGTAGACAACTCCGACGTTGTTTCGCCAGAAAAGGTAATGCGTCAGTGGAGGTAAGCTCCATCCAACATCACGAATCTCAAAGATTTCTGTTTCACCCTTTCATAGTCCAGTTTCCGGTTCGGAATCAGCAAGCAAGCAAGCTCGAGATCCCTCACAGGATATCGGCCGGTTGGCCCAATGGCAAGGCGTCTGACTACGATTCAATCAGTTATCAGGAGATTCTGGGTTCGACCCCCAGGCTGGTCAAATTCTTTTGCGCTTGCATGCAGATTTTTTCTCTCTCAACTGGATTCTTTTTTTTGGCGCCGGTGCGTTGGTGAAAACACATGTCGGTGTGGGCTGGCCGGGCCTCTGACCAACCAGAATCATCTGTCGCGACGAATTTGGAAGAAATTCTCAAAGGTGTGTTTGATTTTTTTTTGTTGGAGAAAGGTTTAGATCGTTTGGGCCGGGGGGGAGGGGGGGGGGGGTATGGGGCTAGGCGGGTTCTACACCGTTTTCTCACCGACGTCAAAAAGGTATATCGACCTATTGGCCTACGGAGCTTACATGGGATGGGGCCGAGGCGACCCAAGAGCTTCGCGCGTTTGTAGCGTGTCGCGATCAAAAGTTTCTCTAGGATACGTGTATTCGTGACGGCTACAGAATATAGACTACCAGGAGGTATTCGCTACATTTCAACGGCGATGCCGTGATGCTGTCTGATCACGCCCCCCTTTTCCTATTTGAGAACCTTTCTAGAAGGGGGCGGACGGACCTGCCAAGCTATCAAGGAGAAACATTGCGGGGAGAGAAGAAGGGTGGTAAAGGTCCCAGGGCCTAGGAGAAGGGGGTGGGGAAAGGGGTGGGAGTGAACGTGCGAAAAAAAAAAAAAAAGACTGAAAGCCAAGGGTAAATGACGAGGGAATGTCAGGAACGACGGGTACGGAGTATCAATCAGTAGGATCGTGAGTCCGTGACAACGTACAAGGAAGGTGGGTGCGGGTATTCCGTTGTCATTTATTCTTCTGTGAAATTCTCGCGAGAAAAGGGACTGACTCGGTCGGGAGTGGGATCCAGAACCGGGGCCGGGGGCCCGGGGGCTGGGGTGTGTGTGTGTGTGTGTGTGTGTGTTTGCTTTCCCTTGCGGGACTCGCGGCCGGAGGAAGCAGAAAGATCATCATCCTTCTCAGAACCCGACCTTCAGGAGCGGGAGACCGGGGCAAAGAGGGGGGGGGGGGTGGAAAGGTCGGTCCGTAGGGCGGGCCATGTGTTGCGAGAATGGCTAAATAGATTATTCATATTCGCCTTGACCGATGGCGATCCAGGAACACAGAGTAAAGAACCAAGGAGACAAGAAAGCTTTGGCCAGCTCCGTTGTCCGTCATCGCCCATCAGAGAAAGTTTTCTCCTTTTGGGGGGGCCCCCGTGTAAACTCATGCCGATTAAAAGACAGGGGCCCATGAGTGATGGATTGATGGATCATTGTGGACAGAGGTCATCGAAGAGAAGCATGTCGAAAGCGAGCAAGGTCATGGCTACGAAATACGAGTCTCCCTACTTTTAAACAGGCAGAAAAAAAAGGAAAGGAAAAAAAACGGAGACTTATTTTTTCGCTCTCTCTCTCTTTTGGCCGGGTCCCGGGATCCAACATATCTCAGGAGTCCCTCACTGACACCGAGCTACCCGTTTGATCCATAGCCGGCCGGTCCTCATGGACATGAGAATGCTCCGGGCCCCCGATAATAGGGTCGGTGCTTTTTCCCCTCTCCCCTTCGCTCGCTTCCTGTTTCTGCCCGGGCTCCCATGCCGAACGTTTCCGTCGGTTCTTCGTCCCGATATCCCGTGCTGCCCGTACGGAGTAGACAGCCTTGCTGAGGTGGAATGGACAAAGGCGATTAGATAATGAGCTCATACTCGGTCATGAGAAATCACAATCACTCTGGAGACAGCACAAGGTAGTAAATGTCAGTTGAAAGCGAAGCAAGCACGTAGGTTTGGAACAAGTCATAATTGAAGTAGAGATATTACATTTTTTATATACATGAAGATATGCCATGTATGCCCAAGATAAGCCCATGCTAAGCGCAGGCCTTCTTTCTAGAGTTCGTATGATACAAATGCCCTTGTTCGGCTTTCAAGTTATTCGTCGTTGCGTAAGGAGATGTGTCCCATCTTTTCTCCAAACACTTTTTTTGTCCCCCCTTTCCGCCCGAGATCTCTTTTACTCCTCCAGGCAGGCCCAGGACGCATTCTCTTCAATGATGCCTGACGCTTTTTCCCGCTAGGGAAAACCCCACAAAAAAGTAGAATAAAAAACAACACATCAGAAGATCTCGTACAAAAGGCCATCGAAAGGCCTTCTTCAGCCACCGGAACAAAAAGTCTTCGACGCCTGCTTGAACTCACAAGAAAGCTCGATTCCTTTTATTCTTTTTGCCAGCCGACGCAAACCTCACATCTGGAAAGGAAATTTAGGCATTCCAGTTGTTCTGCTGCTCGCCAGCCTCGGGCTTCGTCTCCTTCTGCGCCTCCTCGGCCTGGGCGTGCTCGCTCTCGACGCGCTCCTCAACCTCCTTCGATGAGTCTCTGTCGCTGCGGCGACGAGGGGTGGAACCGGGGGCGTAACCGGTAGCCAGCTTGCGACCGTGAATCTCAGTCTGGTTGAGGACCTCCATGGCCGCCGTCGCCGCCTCGACGGAGTGGAAGTCGGCGTGGGCGAAACCGCGCGGCCAGCCCGTCGCGCGGTCCACGGCGACGCGGACGTCCTTGACGCCCTCGAGGTTGGCAAAGAGGTCGTTCATGTCCTTGTCCGATGCCTCGAAAGAGATGTTGCCGACGTAGACGGTCGCTGTGGGAGGGCCGTCGTAGACGCTCTTTCTGGTCGCTCTGTTGTCGTTGCCTCTTCCGCCCCTTTCCCTGGCGGGCCCTCTTGCGTTTGCGTCGCGAGACTTGGCTACGATGCGGCGGCCGTGCCAGAAGGTTCCGTCGACGTTCTCGGCAGCCTCTTTCACAGACTCAGGGGTCTTGAAGTAGACAAAGCAGTAGCTGAAAGAGAGAAGATCCATAGGTTAGCCCCTGATCGACTGAGAGAAGGTACTCTACCCATTCTTGCAGAACGGGAGCCAGAACCATCAAGAAGGGATAAAGAAGATACGAAGCCGGAAGCTGCGTCAGGGGATCTAGGGTATTGAGACATACCTCTTCTTAGGAGGCATCGAAACGCCGACAACCTCGCCGTACTTGGAGAAAGCTTCGCTCAGCTCCTCGGGCTTAACATCGAAAGAGTAGTTTTGGACAAAGAGGACGTTGTCGCTGGGCTCTTGTCTCCGGCCCCTCTGCTCGGTACGGCGGAAGCCTCCCTCAACCTCGCCATCTTCACGGAACGCAATGGAGCGGGAGAATGCTCTCGGCGCCGCGACGGAGAAGGATCTGGCGGCGGCGGCAGCGTTCAGGGCACGCAGAGCAAACGAAACGGTCTGCGACTTGGGCGCAGCGGCAGCGGTGACCGAGCTGGTGAAGGCGGCGCGAGTGGCCGTGCGACGGATGGACTGCCTGGCGTAGGGGAAAGTTTTCAATTAGCTTTCTTCGATCATGGGATCGTTGCAAAAGGCAACATTGCCGGAACACTCTGAAGCAGATGACTTACATATTGAAGTGATGTGATGGGAGAATAGTAGACGGATTGATGGATTGAGAGGGAGAGACGAAAAGGGTGAAGGGCGAGATGATGTGATGTACAGATTGAGATTTCTACGGGCGAACAAGAAATTTTGGGATGACCGTGTCGAGGGTTCGCGGCGATAAGATACGCTAGCCTTGTTTTGATCTAGCGTATTTCGGCCCAGTATCCACTCGGAGTCCAGCCATGGACATGGAATGGAACCTTGCCCAAGCGGCGCATCAAGCCTCGATGTAAACGCACGTCAAGCTCAACTGTTCGTCTTCTTTATTCATTCACATAATAAGTCGGCCCAAGTTTATGATATTGCAATAGAACTGATATTCGCAGTTATCTCTCATCCCGCCTGGGAGGAGATTATGATTGGTAGCGTCCATAGCCACTCGCTTCCAGGGAGAGGCCTAAAGCTCGTCTCTGGGAGAACAAATCCAAACGCTGGTTTCCCTTCGGTATCCCCCCGCCTGACCAAATAGGAGGAGGATGATCCATAATCTCCATCAGTCATTGAACCTGCCACAGAGTTTCCCTATATAATTTTTTTCTTCCAGGAGTACAGCAATGGACCACATAGCATGCACCCTAGATGCCCGCATCGCCGTCCCATTGACCAACGTGTAGGTATATACACCAGGCTCTCCGTACCGTTTCCGCCTCGGCCTTCTTGAGCCTTGCCCACCCACCCCTAAAACAGATGAAACATAGGACGCCGTCTTACTTTTTTTATCTACTGACCAAGGACGAGGGTATAATGTCGTCCCCCGGTATCAGTAACGAACTGGAGGAGCCGATCTCAACGGAACCTGTGAGCCAGTAGCACACTCAGGTATCGATACATTCGACACGAAAAGAAATAAACAAACAGCCCGCCAAACGGCATTGTGGAGCATGACGCATTCCGGCAGAGGCACAGAACTGTAATAGAACACGCAGACCTGCGTGCGAGGCCGCGAACATGTGGTTGGGTATAGGTAGGTTGATCTTGCAGGCTCTTTGCCCACGGGGTCGCTGCATGCGCGGCTTGTTGACCCACGAGTGTGTACCGCGGCGAGTGCCTGTGGCATGCTGCTTCGCATGATATGGTCATATACATGATGACGGTTGAGTCTTCTTTGCCTCTTCAGACTTTGATACGGACTCAGTACCTCTCGGGGCGATAGCCGTTAACTCGGGGAGCCTCGTATTGGACGCCCGTCATTGAGTCAGGTCCGTTGGGCATGTTGCCGTTCAGCCCTCGAATTGGCGGCAACTCACGGCGGGCCGCGTACGGATCTGCCTGATACCCTACCGCTTGAGGGGGAGGAACTTGAGACTGAGGCGGCGCCTGGCCTGTGGGGGACTGTTGTAGCCTCGTGTTGTGCAACTCATTCTGAAGACGCTGAATGTCTACGCGCAGGTTGTGGTTGTCCTGTCGGAGTCCGTCGTTTTCCTGGGCCAACGTTGTGTTTTGCGACTGCACCATGCGCATGACGTCTGCCATTCGTTGGTGCTCGGAAATAGCTGTTGTAGATCAGCGTCTGCACAAAGATAAAAAGATGATACGGTTGCATGTGACTAACCTTTGGTGAGAATTTCCCACTTGGATGCT